CATTTCTTATCCAAGCTACTACAATCATTGTTGTTGCAGTACCAGAAGGTAACATTCATTTATTTTTATACTTAAGAAAAAAGAAAAAAATTTTGTTTTTGTTTCTAAATAAATAGGTCTTCCATTGGCTGTAACACTTGCTCTTGCTTATGCTGTTCGAGTTAGTAACAAAAATGATCTTAATAAATCTAATTATTATCTTAATTTTTTTTTTTTATTAGAAAATGATGACAGATAATAATCTTGTTCGACATTTGGATGCTTGTGAAACAATGGGAAATGCATCAACAATATGTTCAGATAAAACAGGAACGTTAACAACAAATCGTATGACTGTTATACAGTCCTATATTACTGGTAAGTCAGTATAGAATTGGTTAGAAATCATATGATCAGAATAATCTATATGTAAAAAAAAACAACATCTTAGCACAATATATTTGGTTAATTTTCTTTTATTTATATAGAAATCATTGAAGAGAATAGAAAGTAATCAGCTAGAATCTGGACTTCATACTTTTTCTAACTATTTACTTAGAATTCTTCTTTTTCTGATTCAAAAGTTAGTTCACTGAGAAAAAGTCTTTGATAGTAGTCAAAAATGATCTTTGTATACAACATAAAATTAAAAAATATTGATAAATATATTTGCTGATGTTTCGAACACCTGGATGTCATTCAAGAGGATCAACAGCAATCAATTAGAACCAGAATTTGATCCTTTTTCTAAATATTTGTTCAGTATTGGTTTTTTTTCTAACTTACGATTGGTGATCTGTAAACAAATATTAAAATAAATCAAAAATATTGCTTCAGACGTAACAAAAATAGATTTGTTGTCTGTCATTCATAACTTCTTTAGGGGAGACTTTAAGTTTATTTTATTTTTCTGGTATTGTAGCAAAATCTGATTTTCTACGAAATTATAGATTATAGTAAACTAGAATTCCAAAGAATTAAAAGCTATAAACTTTTTTGAAAGTGATTCTTTACATGAGACAGCATTTTTAAAAACAAATTGTTCTTCTTTTTGAAATTTCAGTATTTAGAATGCAATAGATTGCGATCATTTGTATCAATTTGTAAAAAACAAAAATGAAAAGAGAGAATCAAATTGAGTGTTTTCTAGAATAAACCTTGTTTTACAAACTGATATATAAAAAATATTTTTCATAATTTGTATTGAAACAGTTTTGATCAAAATACAAACACAAACATGAAAAATTCTGTATCAATGTGATATTTAATCTCCGTCGAATATTTTCTCTTAATAAACTAACTTCAAGCTAAAATAGAATTGTGAATATATAGTGAGAAAGAGCATGAAACTTTTATTCCAGATGATTACTTTTGATTTTCTCCAATGACTTATAAATGAACGAAAATTAACCAGAAATGTTTTGCAAAGACTTTTTACATACACAGATTATGTGTCATCTTCTAGCGTAGTGCATTGAATAATAAATACAGTTGCTAAACTTAAATGTTGACGATGTTTGTTATTCGACAAATAATCTCAGATTATTAGTTTGACATCATTTTTTTATTCTAACTTCTTGTTGTGACATTATAATGCGATATTTATTGATATTTACATGAAAATTCAAGTAATTTAGCAGAAAAAATGTTGATAAGATTGTCTTTCTATTTGTACCTTTTCTATTGATACTATATTTTAAATTAATGATCTAAAGTATAGATATTAAGCAACTTAACAATAGAAGCGAAAGACGTAAACAGAATGTACTCAAAATATGAGAAAAAACACTTTTGATCACTAATTCTTTTCAAGTAGTGAATTTTCATTATCTCTTGGATGCTTCTACACGATTCACACAAGTCTTCATCCACACTTGACACTTTGTTTTCAAGAATCAAACAGGTTAAAATATGATTGTTTTCCAAGTCGACGACATCCTATACATTATGTGGTCTAACTGGCAGAGAGCATCAAAAAGTGCGGATGCCACGGTGTCGCTGATCTGGAGAAGTATCACTTTGGCTCTTTTCTAAACCAGCAATACTATTAACTAACTGATGTGATTGACAGTGGAGAACTGTACAAAGTGAGGTTGCCATCGGTCTGGAGTAGCACTTCTACTTTATTAACAGATAACAATGTGAAATGAATGTTGAGAAAAGTTGGTGATCAAAAGTATTGTCACCTCATAATATATATGCATATAGAAGATACATAAAGAATGATGAATGAAAAAGAAAAGAGAAAACCTATGTATCAAATATAGTTATTAGAGTGAAGAAATAGAATTTCTATCAATAAATTATCACTATCGAAGTGAATTTAATGATCAGATTAAAATCATTAGGTCATCCGTTTTAATTGCGATCATCTTGCTCAATACATCAATCCCTAATAAATAATATTTTAGATTGTAAATTCTTGGAATTTTACGATTGATAACTTTTGTAGCAGACAAAAGAATCAGAAAACCAACAAATTTTACTGATTTTGATTATTTCCTGGAGGCAAAAATAATCGATTAGATTGAAATATAAACTTCAATATAGATTCTTCTTAAGAATCTCTACACGATGAAATGTTTTCATCGTTTAAAAATAATTAGAATAAAAAAAGAAACTTATTTCATGACTTTGAGTTGAGTCTTCGATTGTGTTTGAACATGTTAGAATCCATTATTTTCTTGAACACGATTATTTAATTTTTTTCGTTTACTTAATCTATCTTTGTTTTGTATCAGGAAAACATAGTGAACAATTACCAAAAGCAGAAGAAGTAAATCAAGAAGTATTACCATTACTTTTTGAAGCTATATCTGTTAATACAAATTATACATCCAAAATAGAGGTTAGAATTAGTTTGTTTCATTTTTTCCTAAATAATTTTTTATTAACTAATATATATATATACATAGGAATCAAAACAAGATGATGGTGGTTTACCAAGACAAATTGGTAATAAAACTGACTGTGCTTTATTGGGTTTAGTACAAAACTGGGGTGGATCATATGATAGAATTCGTCAAGATATTCCCGAAGAAAAATTAGTTAAAGTATATGTATTTGATTCTGCACGTAAAATGATGAGTACGATTATTCAACATAATGATGGTTATCGACTCTATACCAAAGGTGCATCAGAAATGCTTTTAACGAAGTAAGAAAAAAAAAACATTTAAATTATTTAAAAAGAAAAAATTCCTACTCATTCTTTTTGTCTTGTTTTGTTTCTTAAAGATGTAAATCAATTATTGATGAAAATAATCAATTAAAAGAATTAAATGATATTGAAAAAAGTCGTTTAATACATGATGTTATTGAAAATATGGCTAATAATGGTTTAAGAACAATTTGTATTGCTTATAAAGATCTTGGAAAAGAAAAACAAGATTGGAATAATGAAGATAAAATTATTAATGATTTAATTTGTATTGCAATTGTTGGAATTGAAGATCCTGTTCGAAATGAAGTTAAATAATTTATTTAAAAAAATGAAAATAAATATGAAAGATAAAATTTTGTTTGTTTTTGTTTTCTATTCAGATACCGGAAGCTATTAAAAAATGTCAACGAGCAGGTGTCGTTGTTCGAATGATAACAGGTGATAATATAATGACAGCTCGTTCCATAGCTACAAAATGTGGTATAATCAAATCTGATGAAGATTGTCTTATACTTGAAGGAAAAGAATTTAATAAATGTATTCGAGATGCATCTGGAAAAGTTAGTACAACGAAACGAATATATATAGTTTTCTTGTTGCAATTTAAATATTTAGATTTCACAAAAACAACTCGATGAAATTTGGCCAAAATTACGTGTTTTAGCACGTTCATCACCTCAAGATAAATATAATTTAGTTAATGGTATTGTTAAAAGTCGTGTAACAGCACATCGTGAAATTGTTGCTGTTACTGGTGATGGTACAAATGATGGACCAGCACTTAAACGTGCTGATGTTGGATTTTCTATGGTAAATTATATTTAAAAAAATACTTTACATTTGATTTTTATTTTTATTTTTTTGATCGATTTCTTTTCTAAAGGGTATTGAAGGAACAGATGTTGCGAAACAAGCATCCGATATAATCTTAACAGATGATAATTTTTTATCGATTGTTAAAGCAATAATGTGGGGAAGAAATGTTTATGATTGTATTGCAAAATTTCTTCAATTTCAATTAACAGCTAATTTATCAACTAGTTTGATTTCAGTTGTATCAGCTGCAGCTATTAGTGTATGATATATACATATTCTTATCTTTCGAAAAAAAAAATTTATTTTCAATGTTTTGGTTCTTTTTTTATTCTCTAGAGTATTCCATTACGAGCTATACAAATGTTTTGGGTCAATCTTGTCATGGATACATTAGCTTCACTTGCTCTTGCAACTGAACCACCAACAGAAGAATTATTAAATCGAAAACCATATGGACGAACAAAATCAATAATATCACCATTAATGTTACGAAATATTCTTGGACAATCATTTTATCAACTTGTTATTATGTTTGTTATACTTTATGCTGGACAATATTTCTTAGATGTTGAATCAACAGTTCAAAAAATTCAAAATGATCCACATGCAGTTAGAGAATTAAGTCAACAATTTACATTAGTATTTAATTCATTTGTATTAATGACATTATTTAATGAAATTAATTCAAGAAAATTACATGGAGAAAGAAATGTATTTAATGGAATATTTCGAAATCCATTTTTTTATTGTATTTGGATTTTTTGTTTTGTTTCACAAGTAATTATAAATCGAAAGAAATAAGAATAATATGTTATTTGTTGAATTTTAGATTTTAATTGTTACATTTGGTGGTCAAGTGTTTAGTTGTGCACGATTGAGTATTACACAATGGGCATGGAGTTTACTCTTTGGTGTTGGATCACTTATATGGTAACAGGTTTGTTGTTTGAATTAGTTATAAAATTTCAAGAAAAATTTGATTGTTATTATCTAGATTATATTATGTATCCCAACGAAACCATTTGCTCTATGTTTTTCGGCCATGTATTGTGTTTGTTGTCCATGCTTTTACACAAGACAACAAAGAAAACGTGCTGAGAAAGAAGCTCGTCGAAAACCAGCTGCAGCGGATCAATCACAGCGAATATCAAGATGGAGTGATAGCGATTATATGACATTTAATAAAACTGATCAATTAACAAGTGCAACTGTTGTTGCTCAACCATCACCCACCATTGCTAAATTTACGTTACGAAAAAATGTTGATCGACTTAATACAGAGGTTTGAATTTTTTGTTTTTTCTTTGAATTTTTATAATTCTATATATGATATATATTTTAGTGTCATGTAATTAATGAATTTCGTACACGACTTGAACGAATTGTTGGATATAAACGCAACAGTCGAGCCAATCTTCTTGATGAATAATTGTGAAAGCGTATAATGCAACATGTTCACATCTTTCTGTTTTTCTTCTTTTTTTTATTAGTTTTGTTTTTTTCTTGTTCCTTT